GGGTGGGGGAACCCCGAGGGGGCCGCACCTTTCCGGGCGCCCAGGCCGCCTGCATGGTGATGTGGCGCGACTGCCACTGCGGTCGCGGGGCGGGGGAAAGGTGCAGAGGACGTTCACGCTGGGGCGATGCAAGCACAGCAGGCGCCCACGCGACGCAGGCTGCGCCCTAGCCGCGCCATGTCTTATGCGACTGGTTTGATTGATCGATAATTGTGGCTTAGCTGTATTCAATGTTTGCCTGGATTGATGGATTTATTGAATTGACGGATTGATGGATTGGTGCATTGATCACCGTGCGTCGTCCCCGCCCCACCTTGGCGCGGCTGATGGGCCGCTCCGCCGACGCCGCCAGCCACTGCCCCTGGTCGGCCAGCGACGACACCGCCAGCCGCAGCTGCTGCAGCACGAACAGCAGGTCCCCCAGCTCGCTGGCGCCCAGGGGCACGCTCCAGCTGGGGCCAGACACTAGGGCAGGGAACCCGGCGTCGTCGGGGGTCCTGCGGGTGTGTGCGTTTGGGGCGGCGCGCGGCATGCAGTGGGTTTGGTCAGGTCGGGGGCGTCACCGCCCATGGGGGGCCGCGGGAGCAGGTGTTTCCGCCGCCCCCGCCGGCAGAGCGCGATGTACTGTGATGCGATGCTTGCGCGCGACGGGTTTTTGAGTGGGCGGCGGGCGGGTGCGGGCATGGATGGGCGCATGCTGAGGTGGCCGTGGCGGCGGGCGGACCCATTCGTGACGGGGCTGACCCATCCATTTGGCTCACTCGAGCACCCCCAGGCGCCAGCCCTGGCCCTCCAGCAATGTGTTGAGGCCGTCAGCGCCTGGCGGGGTCAAGGGGAGGTGCGGCCGATCGGCGGGGCGCGGTCGGTGCGGGGCGGCGCCTGCCAGCCGTGCCGGCAGCGGGACTGGGGCTGCGGCCGCTGCTCTGCGCCCCGCGCCGGCCTGGCTGCCCGTCTGCTTGGCCCAGTTGCTTCCTCAAAGATCACTCAGAGTTGAAGCCGGCCGTGGAACAGCCTCTGGCCACCCAGGAGTCCGGCGATCTGATGTGCTGCAATGGTGCGGCCCCCTCGAGCCCGGCGCCCTTCATTTGCCATCCAGAGTGGCAGCTTCCTTCCCGTCACCCTGGCCCCCCTCTGCAAGGCGGCCTCGGCTGCTGTTCGTGATTCATACGCAGCAGCGCGCGGCGCCCAATGCACGCGTGTGTCCCGCGTTCTGCGCGGGCGTGTTTCACGCCCCTCAACTCACCGTCGTCGTCGGTCGACTCTGCGGGCAGCACCAGCACGCAGCCGCTCTCGTCGCAAACAAAGCCAAGACCAGTCAGCTCGTCTATCGACTCCTGTTGGAGTGTAAAATGCAGACAGTTTACAGATGATATGAACAGGCGGATAGACACCACCAATGCGGCTGCATCAGGATGAGGTGTCAGCGCAGCCACTGGGGCCGTCGTCGCCCAACCAGCTGCACTCATGACTGACAAGGCCGCCAGTGGGATGGGGTGTGCTGGCGGCCAGCCCAGCCAACCGGCGCGGGGCTGTAACCGGCGCATGGGAAGCCGCGTGTGCCGCGCCATGGCGGCCCGCAGGGTTCTTGGTCCCCCGCTCTGGGGTGTGCCCTCGCACCTGGACACCGGCCGTGTAGTACTGTTTCGGGGCGGCGTCGCCGCCGGTGACGGCGTTGAGCAGCGCGTTCGCCTCGGCCAGCATGTCATCGACATTTGGGCTGTCGCCACTCTGGGCCTGCGAACCCACGGGTTGTCACGTGCAGGGGGTTGGGCGCGTGAGATCAGCCAGGGCGGGCGGCGGGCGGGCTCGCAATGGTGGCACGGGTGGCGAGTCGTGCCGCTGCAGGGCTCGCGAAAGGCTGAGGAAGGCTTTTATGTTGCAATACATGACCCTGAGCAGCCTACGAGTTGTCGTAGGAGCCACGTCTGCCGAGGGAGCCCGGCTTGCGTGCCTGCAGGAAGGCTGACGCTGGCACGCCCATTCGCTGTCCAGGCCGTGCACAGACATATCATGAGTCACTTAAACCCATCACGCACCCGAGCCACCGGACAGGGCCTCGCGGGTGTGCTCCGCGAGGCTATGCTGCCGCTCCTCGCCGCGCACTGGCCCACTGGCCCGCTGAACCTAACGGAGAAGGCCATAGGATCTGTGTTAGCTGCGAATGGAGTCAAGCCGCTGCCGTGGCAATACTGTCAGCGGAGCGTTATATGCGGAACCCGAGAGAGGGGCCTTGAGTATGCGCAGGAGCGATTCGGTTTTGAAGAAACATTCGCTGCTGATGGCCCACAGCGCGGGCACGACTGGATGCTTGACCGACAGAATTGCTGCGCCCTTGCCCATTGACCGCAGGACCGCAGCCTCGGCAGCAAGACCACCACGCACTCGTCATGTGATCCATGCACAGGGCTGCTGGGCCGTCATAGTGTGTGTTCTTTCTTTACTACCTCAGTGGGTGCGGTGGGCCCCGGGTTCTGGGCAGCCGGCGGTCCGAAAAGGCGACGGTGCTGGGTGCACAGTGGTTGACCAGCTGACATTGACCGCTGCGATTATTGGCAGCTGCCACCTTATCCAGAGGCCTCCAGGCTTACACTCAAGGAGTCAAACAGCGCAGGAGGGAGGGGGGGGGCCGCGAGGAGCGCGAGGAGGACGATAAACGCGTTTGCCAAACCGTGGATGCTAAGGCAACCACAAATCGAGGCGGGGGCCCAGCACGCCGGGGCAATGGCCCGCCGCGAGCGGGGCCCGGCCGCCTTGTATGATCGAACCACATGCAGGGACACCCCAGGGAGCAGATGGAGAAACGCTCATTCAGAAGATCCGGGACGAGCTCTGCGCGGCGGGGAGCGCGGCGCGGGGGCGCATGCGGCAGGTGGTCAGTTGGGTGCGGATTGGGGGCAACGCTCCAAGCATGAAAGCACGCAGACCACCGCTCATGAGGCCAGCAGGCCAAGCCCGTCGGCGCCCATTCTTGCCTTAACTTAGCCGGGGCCCACTCTTTGGAGCCACAGGCCAGCCTTGGCCACCACGCCGACCAACCCGTCTTCAACACTTTGTACAACGCGCCGCTGCTGCGTTCCCCCATGCAGGCGCTTCGGCACCCCCTTACCCCACCGCTCGCCCACCGCTCACGACGCAAGCGGTGGCAGAACCATTCTTGAACAGACAACCAGCCACGCATGCACGCACGCTCATGCTTGTGCACGCGCGTGCGTGAGCGTGCACACACACATACCCGTGCACGCTCGCACCGGCACACCCGACACATGCCAACACTCACTCATCCACCCACCCACCCACCC